CCTTCCCTGCATCCACATACGGATTATACCCCATAACTGAAGTATGAAAGGCCTAGTCTCATAAATGGGCAGGTAATATGTGGGGACTAGAACTGCCAGGGGCAATCTGATTGCCTGGCATGGGCTCATAGTAGTACTTCTGTGTGAATGATCTGGTGAACCCTTAAGATACTAGATGGAGGCCGGGTGTGGTGGCTCACGCTTATAATCCTAGCACTCTGGGAGGCCGAGGCAGGTGGATTTGCTCAAGGTCAGGAGTTCAAAACCAGCCTGAGTGAGACCCAGTCTCTACTATAACAAATAGAAAGAAATTAATTGGCCAACTAATATATATATATATGTATATATATATATATATATATATAAATTAGCCGGGCATGGTGGTGCGTGCCTGTAGTCCCAGCTACTCGGAAGGCTGAGGCAGTAGGATTGCTTGAGCTCAGGAGTTTGAGCTCCTGAGGGTAATGCCATGGCACTCACTCTAGCCTGGGCAATGAAGTGAGACTCTGTCTCCAAAAAAAGAAAAAAGATACTAGATGGAGATGAGCTTGAAGTTACTGTAAATAAGTTACCTTTTCCTTTGATTATTTATTCTGGCAAGTCATATGTACTCGTCAGTTAGTTCAATTCTTGTATCTTCTAAGAGCTACCTTATACCCATTGCTAGATGAGAAGACTGGTGGAGCTCACCGAGTTGGACCTAGTCTTTCAAAATCCTGACTAAAGCCTGCTCTGTTTGCTCCATTAAGGTGCCAGCCCAGCTCTCTGACTCTTATCTGTCCCTCCCCCAGGCTTCGGAGGAGAAGGTACGGACCACAGAGACACAGGTGCTTGTGGCATCTGCACAGAAGAAGCTGCTGGAGGAGAGACTGAAGCTTGTCTCAGAACTGTGGGATGCTGGGATTAAGGTATAGGAGGCAAGCCCAGGGTGGCAGCAAACTTGACGGTGCTGGGCACAAACTAAATTAAAGGTCATCTGTAGTGACCCTGCTTGGAGTGGAGCTAAGAGCAAGGTGCTAGCTTGGGCCCGCAGGAATTGTCTCTGAGGACAACAGAAGCCAGCCTTCATCTTCTGCTCTGGTTCCCTGCAGGCTGAACTGATCTACAAGAAGAACCCAAAGCTACTGAACCAGCTACAGTACTGCGAGGAGGCAGGCATCCCACTGGTGGCCATCATCGGCGAACAGGAGCTCAAGGATGGGGTCATCAAGCTCCGTTCAGTGGCTAGCAGGGAAGAGGTGAGAAGGGCACAGGAAGGCTAAGCCACAGGGAATGTATGCCATGTTGGCAGGCCCATGCCCATTCAAGACCTGAGCAAAAGCCTGGCATTCTTGTTAGCACCACCTCATAAAGGACCTAAGGGCTTAACCTGTTAACTGTGGTGGTGGTAGGGTAAGATCTCCATCCCCACATACACCCTATGTCTTTCTGGCTCTCCCAAGGAGCACTGTCTACCCTCAAGTGTTTGGGTTCCTGCTCCTAGCAGAGCCGAGCCTGATGACTAGAGGAGGGAGCAGGCACTCAGGGAGCAGTGGAGTGGCAGATGCTCATACCACCTTCTTCCCCCATCCTGGCTAGGTGGATGTCCGAAGAGAAGACCTTGTGGAGGAAATCAAAAGGAGAACAAGCCAGTCCCTCTGCATCTGCTGAACTGAGCAAACTATCAGGGAAGAAAGTGGGACTGGCACTAGAGGCTAAGACAAAACTCCGAGTTGTGCTTCAACAAGCTTTGCACTTTTCTGTTTCAGCAGGAAGACCTGAACAGTGCTCAGAACAGAGACTTTTAAATTTTTATTATGATTATTTTATTGGTAATTACTGGCAAAAATGGCCAGCTGCTAGGCCATTTTCCATAGAAGGCCCTGGGGGCTTAGTCCAGTCTGCTTCTGGGCTATAGGGACCCAGCCTGAGATGGTCTCATCTGCTGGGCCCCGCACCAGATGGAGCGGATGCCTCCCCACAACCAGCTGCCAAAGGTCCAATAAAACGCCTAAACCACCGAAGCCTGCCTGTGTCACTGCCTAGCCCTGCCTTCCCAGCAGAGCCTGAGCCTGTGGTTCAGACCACTTTGGGGTGGGAAGGGGAGAAAGACTTACAGTAAACCCCGCAGGCTCTTCCCCAGGGGTAAGGGCGATCTTGGGGTTCTTGCCTCCAGCGTCCACCCTGTGGTTTGTGAGCCACCCAGGAGGCTGCGGTGCACTAGGCCGCCTGCTAGCGTTTCCAGCTTTCACCTGAGGGTCCGAGGCCCCGCGGCGCACGTGCAATGGATACCTCCACCCCCTTGGAAGGCGGGGTCGTGCTCAGAGCCAATGAGAGCTTGCGGGGTGGAGGGGTAGGGAAGCTTCCAGAGGCCGATGGGGAGAAAGTTATAAAGAGGGTACAAGGGAGCACGCAGGAGACCATGCAGTCCAAACGGGAGTGTGAGGTAAGTGGGGGCCACGAGAGGGCCAAAGAGCCCCACCTGCGCGGAGGAGAGGGGTGCGGCGGCTACAAGGACCTCCACATCACAAGCGAGGTGGGATGCGATCCTGCGTTCCAACCCGCCTTTTCCCTCGCAGCTATGGTGCGAGAGGGTGAATCCAGAGAACAAGGCGGCGCTGGAAGCGTGGGTCAGGGAGACGGGCATCCGCCTGGTGCAGGTGAACGGGCAGAGGAAGTATGGCGGGCCACCCCCAGGTACGGTAGCCCCAGCCCCTACGCCTGCCACGCTAGGGCGGCCTCGAGAGCCCAGAACAGCCCCCTTTGGGGGAGGGGCCTGCCCAGGTCTGCCACAGTCCGAAACCCCAAACTACCCGGATTTATAACCCCAGGCAGATGAGGAAATATGTATCTGGCACCCCATACACCCGCCCCATCGAGGAAGGGAGCTTAAAGTACACTCTGGGCTAGTCCCATGGTTAGCTCAATCACCTAATTATGCCACCGACCTGCGGTACGGCGTTGTACCCATTTCACAGACGTTTGTTCACATTGCCCCCTCCCCGCGCTGGATCCATGGGCTCCGAATTCGGAACCATCCCGGTGGATGACGGTGTCCCTCCACACCCCCTTCTCCCAGGCTGGGTGGGCAGCCCGCCGCCGGCCGGGTCGGAGGTGTTTATCGGACGGCTGCCCCAGGACGTGTACGAGCACCAGCTGATCCCACTGTTCCAGCGCGTGGGCCGCCTCTACGAGTTCCGCCTGATGATGACCTTCAGTGGCCTGAACCGCGGCTTCGCGTATGCCCGCTACAGCTCGCGGCGTGGCGCGCAGGCTGCCATCGCCACGCTGCACAACCACCCGCTGCGGCCGTCCTGCCCGCTGCTCGTGTGCCGCAGCACGGAGAAGTGCGAGCTGAGCGTGGACGGGCTGCCGCCCAGTCTGAGCCGCCGCGCGCTGCTGCTCGCGCTGCAGCCGCTGGGTCCTGGCCTGCAGGAGGCGCGGCTGCTGCCCAGCCCCGGGCCGGCGCCCGCGCAGATCGCGCTGCTCAAATTCAGCTCGCACCGCGCGGCCGCCATGGCCAAAAAGGCCCTGGTGGAAGGTAGGGGGGTGCAAGCTGCGGGGGCGGCTGGTAGGGGGCCAAACGCGTTCTGCCAGGCACTTTATACGTAGCGGATTAAGTAATCTTTAGTCAAGCATGTCTGAGTTTGCAACCTTTCCCTACTTGATCTCAGACTTTCTAAATGTCCAATGGTGCTCCTACCACCACCGTTTATCTCAATTTAGAACACTTCCTGTGCATTATTATCTCCTGACTTAAACCTCAATATCACAAAGAGAAATCATCCTCTCTTTAGAAATGAGGAAACTGTTTTAGGAGAAATTGACTTGCCCAAGAAATCCAAATGAGTCTGCCTTTTATCTAGTATAGAACCTGTTTCTTCAGTGTAGTGAGAACTGAATTAACATAATGGGCATGTGGTACTTAGCTTTTAATTTCCTGATGCAAGCATTCGCAGTATAGATTAGCTATTATAATGCTTATGAGGTAGACAAAGCCCACAGCAACCAATTGGCTAGGAAACAGGTAGTAGCAGTATTATACCCCCTTTACAGTTAAAGATAATGGATCCTGGAGAAGGCTTTATTGTCTTCTTACCCAAGGTCACACTACCAGGAAATGGGGAGAATGCAAATTAAACAAAGGCCTACTCCTAAGGGCTCACAGTCTGGAGGCCTGGGCCCACCAGGCTTTGACCTGCCCTCATCTCTTGTCTTTTTCTTGCAGGGCAGTCACACCTCTGTGGAGAGCAGGTGACTGTGGAGTGGCTGAAGCCAGACCTGAAGCAGCGACTGCGCCAACAGCTTGTGGGTCCCTCCCTGAGGTGCCTACAACCAGAGGGCAGCCGATTGTCCCTGGCCAGGGACAAGCTAGGGTCCCAAGGGGCTCGGGCTGCCTTACAGTTGTTGTGCCAACAAATGAGGCTGGGTAGCCCAGTGTTCCTCACCAAGTGTTTGGGCACAGGACCTGCTGGCTGGCACCGCTTCTGGTACCAGGTGGTGATTCCTGGGCATCCAGTGCCCTTCAGTGGCCTTATCTGGGTTGTGCTGGCCCCAGATGGGCAGGATGGGCACGAGGTGGCTAAGGATGCTGTGTCCGCACAGCTGCTGGAGGCACTGAGTGAGTCTGGGTCCAGCCTCTTGTGGTCCACTGGGGCTGAGGCAGGTGCCATTGTTAAGCAGTGACCTCATTCTCTCTCCACAGGCAGCCTGAATGGGCAGGCAGAGCCTGTGTCAGTTCTCAGCCCAGCAGGCCTGGGCCACCACTATCTGACCCCAAGGGGAGGAGGGGCATGGACTCTGTCCCAGGCCTGACATATCCTCCCTGTTGGGGCAGGGCCCCATGGCACCTGGGGTTAGCTCAGGTTTGGTTTAAGTTGTGGTGAGGGGCCTTGCCCTCAGTCTTCTCTTACTCAGGATCTAACCTGACCCTTTGGTCTTCCTTGGCTATTCCCATGTGACATGCATCCATCTTACCCCCCTTTCACCCCCCCCTCCAAACTTAGCATGAATCTTTGTTATATTTTTAATTTGTCCTCTGTTGGTTTTTATTTGGGGGGAGCAGCTGAGCCAAAGGGTCAGAAATTCTGCCCTTTGTCCCTACCACTGGCATTCTGGTTTTGGCTTATGTATAGTTTTGAGTTTTTCTATGCTGGTTGTATTTATATTAAACCCCTGGTTAGTATACACTTGTGTCTGTGCTGTCTTGCCCCAGCTTAGGGTTTGTCTCGCATGCTAGAGTAAATAGCTGCTAAGGGCAAGTACCTCCCTAACATCAGTGTCCTGGGTATATCATCTTATGCTGCATAATAGGGTATTATAAATTCATTATCTTCTCTGGGTCCAGCCCAACAAGCAAGACTCTTGTTCAGTAAAGACCTGTTCTAAGATTCAGTTCATTTCCTCAGTCACTGTCATCCTCACTGTCCTCTTCCTCCCGAGCCACAGAGTCCTCTTCTTCCTTCAGTCCTGCGAAGAAGTCATCAGTGCTCCAGGCTTTGCTACTCAGTGCCCGTAGTGATCCTCCCTTTTTTTTGCGCCGACGGTAGTCATCCACCACCACAGCTCGCAGCTGGGCCAAGTCCCAAAACTTGAGGCGCTGGTCATGGCCACTGCTGGCCAGGAAGCGGCCACAGTGGGAAAGGGCCAGCTCTTCCACAGGCTCCCCAGCATGCTGGCCCACACTGCCCACCACTCGGTTTGGCAAGATGTTCACAGCCCTGGCAGGGAAAGAACAGTGTTGGATATTGGCTAGCTGGGCCCCTACCCCTGCTGTGACCTGAGGGCTGTCCTGGCTTCCCTCACCTGATGACTCCATCAGTGGAGCCAGTGCATAGCAGACTCTCTGTGACTGGAACCATGCAGTCAATGGACTCAGCTCTCAGGGCAAAGCGGTCACTTGTGGCCCCAAAGCCGTTCCAGTTGAAGAGGTAGATAGTACCTTCACTGGAGCCACAGGCCACCTTCTTCCCACACTGTAGGGAAGTGAGACAAACCATGTCTGTGGAGCTGCCCTAGACACAGCCCCAAGCACACATATCCCCACCACCCCCATGCCCAGCTGTACTTTCATGAGGGTGACAGAGGTCAGGTCCCCAGACTGAGGCTCTGAGAGCAGCTCGAACCGGCGTCTCTTGATGTTGAAGACACCAAGGCAGCCATCCCCACTACAGAGAACAGAGGAGCAGGCTTAGCCCAGAGTTCTCTTAGGAAGACATTTAACACAGGGAGAGGAAGGAAGGCAGCTTTGAGGTTGTACCTGGCTGTGAGCAGCAGCTTCTTGGCTGGATCCAGAGCCATGTCTGCGATGTACTCCTCATGCTGGCGCATATCCATTAAGGGGGCCTCCTTCCGCTGGTCCCAGAGACGGACACAACCTGCATCGTCCCCAGTGGCCAAAACATTCTCATCCACCAGCAAGAGACTGTTGATGGGGGCACTGGAAACAGGGAACTTCTCAGAGCATTTTTGTCCTAGTGGGGACTTCCCAGTACTTACTCCAACCCCCAATGCACATACATATAATTGGTTCCTCTTACCCATGAGCCTTGGAAATACGTCTTTCTAGTTGACCCTGCTCCACATCTAGAACGTGGATGGCTTTGTCCTTGGAGACAGTAACAAGTTCTGGGGAAAAGGTGCCCAGGTCATGATGCTGCTCACTGTTCCCTTCCCACCACCACATGGCTGCCTTACCCAGTACTCACTCTGCCCGTCTTCAGAGAAGACCACAGCTCGGCAGGACTTGAGATGGTGACCTGATGACCAGAGCTCCTTGGTTTCTCCCTCTTGGCAAGAGTAGGAAAAGCTAGGGAAAGAGGAAGGAGGGTGAATGACCCCACACCTCACCTGGGAGGCATGGAGTGCAGAGACCAACATTCCCACCTACCTAGGAGTTTCAGCTTACGTACCTCCAATCCCAAAAAGCTTACCATCCCATTTTTCCATTTTCAATGAGTTTCAAATGTTAGACTTGTTTTCATTCAACATACTTTAAGGTACATTTGCTCAAAACCTCTTTTTGACCTCACCCCACCCCTTTTCATCATCTTTGAAAACCCCAGCCTGCATAAAGATTGGGTTTGATTGAAGTACTGTGGAGGAAATATTTGAATCAAGGACAGAAAACAAGTCCCCAAAGTTGGGAATGTAAAAATCAGTAAGGCAGAGTGAGCTCTTGTACTTCAGGTCTGCATGAACTAGAGAAAGCTATAATTAATTACTGCATGTTGAGACTACATGCTGATAAAGAGGTAGGATCAAAATGGAGATGGAGCAGAGAGGCAGCAGCCTATAAACTCAACTTTGAGGCAAGTACCTATCCGGAGAATATCCCCAGTGCCTCCCTCAGAGCAGATCCTCAAAAAGGGCAGAATGAATATATATTTAATTGCCAGTGAGTTCCAAGTGGGCAGAACTAAGTCTGCTCATTGTTTTCTCTGCCCCAGTGCCTAGCATTAAAAAGTTGCTTAATAAACATTACCAGATTGAATGAATACTTGGGTAGGGAGAAGAGAGTTCTGGAAAGCTAACTAAATGACATTTGAGTTAGATCATGAAAAATAAGAGAAAAAAAGGCAGATACTGGAGGGAGATGTCCATGTCCCTTCTAGGGCAGAAATAGGAAATGAGGAGGGTTCAAGTGGCTGGAAAGATGGACTAGACTGGGCTTCAGACCATGTGGGCCAAGCAGATATCTGTTGGAATTTAATTTGGGAAAAGAAACCTTTTCAGAATGGTCATGGGAGAAGTCAGAGGACCACCAGGAGGTAGTGGCTGAAGGAGGGGAATGGGCCAGAACCAAGGGATCCCCTCCAGAACCTTTTCTGAGACAAACTGAAGCAGTGAAGGTGTGGGGGATGTGAAGAAAGGTGGAGGTCTAGGGTAACTCCCAAGTATCTGGCATTGTAAATGTGGATGGTAGTAGAAGGAAACCTATATTTGTTGAACAACTGCTCAGGTGCTATACTGAACACTTGTCCCTTCGGCAAGGTAGGTGGTATTATTCCCGTTTCCAAAGATACAAAGGAAAATACAGACGTTAATTTGCCCAAGGCAAGCTAATGAGGGATTGAGGTTTAAATTCATTAAGTAAATCTGATAAACACAACTCTCCTGGTTAAAACCTTCAATGTCTTTCCACTGCTTCTAACCTGAGTCTTTTGTTCAAAATCAAACACATATTGAGCACCTACCCTCAACAAGAGGCAGGAAATAACATACAAAATAAAATGGACTACAGATCATACCCAGGTTTTTCAAATTCCAGTCACATGACCCATTAATGAGCTCAATCCAAATTTTGTGTGCACACAATAACAATAGAATAAAATACACCAGAAATTATCAGAGAGCATCACATATAATGTAAAAGGTATTTTTCTGTGGTGCAAGGTCAAAAAGGTTTGAAAAACATTACTTAAAGACATTCAAATAATTGCACATAAAAAAAAAAGAAAAATACACCAGCTAGAGCTGTATTAAAAAGAAAAAAATAAATAAAAAAAGAAAAAAAAGAAAAACAAATAATTGCACAAATGTATGTATGCTTACAACCCGTTATAAAATTTATGAGGGAAAGGTACCATGCCACTGGTGCCATGGCATCATCTAACAGGTAACCCTGTTTAGTTCTGGGCACGGAGGAAGAGGGAAGAGATTCTGAGAATTCAGGAATAGTAGAAACAAAGGGAAAGGAGTTTTCCAGACAGAAAGAGTATCATGTGCAAAGGAGCAACGGCTTCAAAATATGGGGTGTTTTTTGTTTTTGTTTTGAGGGGGAGTCTCAGACAGAGACTCGCTCTGGCATCATCCTAGTTCACAGCAACCTCAAACTCCTGGGCTCAAGCAATCCGATCCCCTGGCCTCAGACTCCCAAGTAGCCGGGACTACAGGCAGGCACCACTACACCTAGCTAGTTTTTCTATTTCTAATAGAGAAGGGTCTCCTTTTGCTTAGGCTGGTCGTGAATGCCAAGATATGTTTTTAAAAGTATGGATGAATGAGCACAGAAAGCAAAAGGGCAGATAAGGGACAGATGATCAGGGCCTTGAAAGCTGGATTAAGAAGTCTGCACTAGGCAGGGCATGGTGGCTCACACCTGTAATCCTAGCACTCTGGGAGGCCGAGGCGGGCAGATCGTTTGAGCTCAGGAGTTGGAGACCAACCTGAGCAACAGCAAGACCCCGTCTCTACTAAAAAAAAAGAAAAAGAAAAAAAAAGAAATTAGCTGGACAACTAAAAATGTATATATAAAAAATTAGCCAGGGATAGTGGCACATGCCTTTAGTCCCAGCTACTCAGGAGGCTGAGGCAGTAGGATTGCTTGAGCCAGGAGCCTGAGGTTGCTGTTAGCTAGGTTGACAGCACCGTACTCTAGCCTGGGCAACAGTGAGACTCTGTCACGGAAAAAAAAAAAAAAAGAAGTTTGCACTAAATCCTAAAAGCAGACCACTGAAGCGTTTTAATCAAGGGAGTGACCGGTCGGATTTGTTTTTTTGAAAGATCAATTAAATACAAGGGGCAAGGAGCCCCTTGCTTGCTCTGGATAACAATCCAGTGGGAAATAAGGCCTTAGACTTAGACGCCTTCCTGTCCTGCTATGGTCTCTGGGCTCCGTCACGACATTCCAGCTACTTTGTCCTCCTTTCAGTTCTTTCAACGGATTTGTGCGTTAGCTAGTTTAAAGCCTAATGTTATTGAATGAATCGGACCGTATCAGTCTTGAAATATTTGTCTCCCTGTAACTTTCTCTCCTCCCTCCTGTTCCTAGCTCCATCCCTGGACAGACCTTTCAGACCCGGTGATCCAGGCCCTGCCCCACACTCACACGAACACGTCCCCGTCCACGTCCCCTGCAGCCAGTAAGTCGCGTGCCGGATGGAACGCCAGCCCACTGGCCGGCGCTTCCAGCACGATGTCTTCCGGGGTGTCCCGGATGCGGGCCGGGGATTCCATGGAGTCAGGGTCCTCCTCCTCGCTTCCATCTTCGGCGGGCATCTCCTCACACGCACGCTCCATGCTTAGAAAGATTCTGAGCCACACTGCGGGAGGACAAACTCAGGGCACAGCTTCCGCCTCAGGGGCGGGACCGGAAGTGTCGCCGCTGCGCTCTGCGCCAGCAGGGGAGGCGTGCGGGCGCTGCCAGCGTGGGCGGAGCCGACAGAAGAGGCCGCGCCCCCAAGGTCCGCCAATTCCTCGTCTTGCTGTGGCCAGGACTAGGGCTAGCTAGAGGGTCAGTCCCCTCCCTCCCTCGACACTATACGTAAAATTGGAAACTGCGTTTAAGTCCTTTCCCCTCATCCTGCTCCATCCTAACAGATTTAATACCCTCGGGATAAGAGAGAGAGGGACGCTAGTCGTTGTGGCTTGGTGAACCCAAAATCGAGTAAAGCGACAGTCCGAGAGGGCGGTCATAAAGCAGCAAAAGCTACCAGAAGATAACACACGGGAGTCACGGACAGCAGGCAGCCCGCGCACACGCTCATTGAGCGCACACGCTCAAGCTGGGCGGCCCACACCTAACATCTTCGTGGTCAAAAGAACAGCGTTCTATGCGGTTTCCTAGTGAGTTAAGACCTCAGTGAGTTGGACCAGTAATGCTCAGAGCTACCAAGGAATTGCTGAAGAGGAAAGTGGGCACGACAGCTGATGTTCTGGACAGCAGTTACCAAAGATGGGAGGGCCGTGCATGCTGGGGCAGATGAGAAGGAGCAGGTGCTCTTGTGGCTGAAGAGAACCCACTGACAACTCTGTGGTACTAAGCTTTCTAAACCATCTTACATGCTGATGCCCAAAACCCCTAAAGAGAAGCGAAAGAAGTGAGGTTAAGGACCTCAAAGAGGTGGTATGTCCTGTTCACTGCGTAACTGGAAAAGTTACTGTGTGGTATTGAGTGTCCTTGTCACCACGTGCCCAACCAGAAAGTCTTGGTCACTTCTATGAGGCTTTGTGGTACTTGGAGAAACTGAATCTCAAACCAACAGTCAACCAGCAGATCTTGCTTTTAGTGACCCTCCGGGCATCATCTTCATCTGAGCCATGTCTCCATGACCTTTTTCCTAATTAGGACTGCTGTCTGTCTACAACCACGAGACCACGGTGTCATTTGTCTAGAATCAGCCATTTTAGATGCTGCTAAAGATGGGGCCCAATTTCAACCTCCTAAGTGCCACACACAAAGCTTCATCAAAAAGCCCTGTCAGGCCGGGCGCTGTGGCTCACGCCTGTAATCCTAGCTCTTGGGAGGCCGAGGCGGGCGGATTGCTCAAGGTCAGGAGTTCAAAACCAGCCTGAGCAAGAGCGAGACCCCGTCTCTACTATAAATAGAAAGAAATTAATTGGCCAACTGATATATATAGAAAAAATTAGCCGGGCATGGTGGCACATGCCTGTAGTCCCAGCTACTCGGGAGGCTGAGGCAGAAGGATTGCTTGAGCCCAGGAGTTTGAGGTTGCTGTGAGCTAGGCTGACGCCATGGCACTCACTCTAGCCTGTGCAACAAAGTGAGACTCTGTCTCAAAAAAAAAAAAAAAAAAAGCCCTGTCATATCAAAGTGAAAATGACCAAAATCAAGACAATGGCTAAGGTGATTTTCTAGCTTTCCCTGGATCTGGTGAGCCCACAGGTCTTGGGCTCAGGATAGGTAGTAGTAGCACCGCATCTAGCCAGAAAGAAGTAGTGACCCCCTAAAGAGCACCAGACCACAGTGATGGCAATGAGCGGAGAGGAAGACTAGGGCAGGGGATGGAGTGAGTCAAAGGCTAGTAGGCCCACCACGGGCCTTGGCAAATGTTTCAGGGTACCGAACCCTTCTGGCCTAGGATAGGAATTCCTGTACCTGCAGGGGCAGGATACACCAGTTCTAACCCCAAGGAACTTCTCCCCAAGGTTACCCTTCAGCCAAGGAAGCAGTGATTTGTACTCAGCAATACTAAAGCTCACAGGAGGGCATAAAAGGTTTTTGGTCCCACCCACAAGTGATCTTCATCAGATGCCTTCACCCAGAGCCGGGTCCTGCACAGCCTTGGGATCAAACTGGCAGGCCACTGGGCTGACCTTAATACCCAGGAATCTCTGTCATAGGACTGGGCACATGAATGAGTCTGACATTTGAGACCAATCATTTTTACATTCCTCTATCCACCATTTGCCCATCAGTGAGGATTATTATTCCCTTCTCCACCGGGCACAACAGCTTATAAACATCCTTACTGTCTAGGAATTTAGAACCACAACTCAGGAAAGAACTGATAGGACTTTCTGCATGTGATTTTATACAACCAGTAGCATTAGCCTTCTTGGTGCTCCAGGGGTCCTGGAGCACCAAGTTCAACATAAAGAAGACAGCAGGTTAACCAATTTTAATGGAACCAAATGATTATACAGTAAAAGTTTATGTACATTCAAAAAAACATATTGCAACCTTTCTGGAAATTGTAGAAAGCAAGTACATCCTTGTGGAGATTCTCCCTTTGAAGAATCAGTATTAAACTGAAGATTAGTATTTTGGTCTTTTGACTTCAACCCTGCAATTGAAGAGAGATGAGTCAGCATAAGATCAATACACTAAGCAGTTACCGCCAGTCCCACAGGAAAATAATGCTGCTCACCCATCAGCTTCCATCTTCTTCCTCTTCTCAATGATCTACAAAAAGAATAGTGATTGACTACAGTTATGCTGCCAGTCTAAGCTTACCTGAGGCCCAAGCTGATCTCTCTCACTTCGATGGCTCTCCAATCCCGTCTGTTCCCAGATCTGTAGGCCAGTATCTCCTTCCAGCTGAAACCCTCCAACCAAGGGGAAGCCCCACTTACTGCACTGATTTTCTTCCACTGACGATCAAGCTCTGCCTTGTCATTGGTTTCCTTGAAGCGCCTGGTTTTCCGCCCTTCAGACATCTTGATACCATACTGGAACGCAGCCCTGAAGTAAAAAAAGTGCAGTTGGAGGAAGAAGGCATTCAAAGTTACATAGCAGTAGCATGGATTTCTCAGAGCCCTGGGCACAAAGAACCTATTTGGATCTCAGCCAGACTACACATTGTAACCTAGGATGGGCTATTCCACCAAATTGCCACACCCCTCCTCACTCTATGCCCATATTAAGCACAGACTCACTTGGGCAAAGCCTCCTTGTTGTTCATATATTCGCTGTATTCCTCCTGGGTATCAAAGTCCCAGCGGCCTAAGGGGCCCTTCTTGTTACCCTGTTGTAGGAAAGAATAGGGGAAGATAGGGAAGGAAGAGATGTCAGTGGAAATGGAATTTTAGCCCCTGATTGAAGCCAGACTCTCCCACAATCCCAGGTTTCACCATTCATAAATCATACCCTAATAAATAGTAAATGTTTACTATGTACTTAGTATGTGTTAGACATTATTCTGAACACTAAACACATCTTATTTAATTCTCACAAAAAGTCTATGAAGAGGGAACTATATTTCTCTCCATTTTCCTGATGAGGAAACTAAGGCATAAGCAGTAAAAGAACTTGGCAAATTCACAAAACTACTAAATGGCAGAGGCAGGACTGAACGAAGATCTAAGATTAAACCATGCTATTGCAATAGAGTGATAATTGTGTTAGCTTTTTTAAAATTTTGTTTAAGATTCAGAAGGAAACTTCAATCCTGGCTAGAATAAAACTTAGTTATTTTCTAAACACTAATTCCTTCTGCCCCTCCTACGTCAATACCTGCTTACTGTCTAGGATGGGAATTAAAGCCTGGCACTTTGTTGTAGGAAATAAAAAGAAATAGACTTTTTTTGGCCTATCTCATCTGATCTTGTGCAGACTTTAAAACAGTTAAGCTAGGCCAGGCATGGTGGCTCACGCCTATAATCCTAGCACTCTGGGAGGCAGAGGTGGGCAGATTGCTCAAGGTCAGGAGTTCGAAACCAGCCTGAGCAAGAGCAAGACTCTGTCTCTACTAAAAATAGAAAGAAAATTAATTGGCCAACTAAAATATACAGGAAAAAAAAATTAGCCAGGCATGGTGGCGTATGCCTGTAGTCCCAGCTACTCAGGAGGCTGAGGCAGAAGGATTGCTTGAGCCCAGGAGTTTGAGGTTGCTGTGAGCTAGGCTGACGCCACGGCACTCTAGCCAGGGCAACAGAGTGAGACTCTGTCTCAAAAAAAAAATAAAAAAATAAACAGTTAAGCTACTCATGACTCCATGCTGCTCCTTCTACTGCTGTAGCTGAAGGAAGGAGGGGCCCAGTAAATGAAAGACAGCTATTTTGGGAGTGAGGAAGGAGATATGTGTGAAACACTAACTGCCCAAAGGCCCCATCATCCTTTGTTGCCTTGTTTTTTTGTTGTTGTTGTTGAGACGGAGTGTTGCTGTATGTCCCTGGGTACAGTGCAGTGATGTCATTGTAGCTCACTCTGAGCTCCAACTCCTGGGCTATAAGTGATCCTTCTGCCTCAGCCTCCTAGGTAGCTGGGACTACAGGTGCACACCACAACGCCCAACTGGGTTTTGTTATTTTATGGGGGGTTTTTTTGTTTGTTTTTTTTGGTAGAGACAGGGCAGGTGCTCAGGCTGATGTTGAACTCCTGAGCTCAAGCTATCCTCTTGCCTCAGCCTCCCAAAGTGCTAGGATTACAGGTATGAGCCACCACACCCAGCCCCCACCCTCCTTCTAACTACACACCTGATCCATTTTGCTATAATCCACCTCCTCGTCACTATCCACAGCCATGTCATCCATCCTAAAGAGAAGAAACAGTTAAACAGACGCTGCAGACCGAGACCCCTATGCTTCATCTGGAAGCATACCCAGCTAAGAGGCTATATGCCTGGGAATAACCACCCACCTAAATCTCCCACCCAGAGTCTAATGGAATAGTTCATCCAAGAGTACCCCTGGGTCCCAGCAAATCAAATTTCCACCTCACCCCTCCAACTTGTTCTCTAATCATCCCAGCCTCCCTTCCTTAAAGGGTCTCACATACGTGGCTGGGTAGCACTCTGCATAACTGTTGGACATGCCAAAGAAGTCTCCCAGCTGCTTTTTGTCTTCTGGCTTCTTTAGCATATGCT